TCACCCACAGGGGACGAAACGGTAAGGTCCATCCGAGTTTTGTGGGGCTACGGACGAGTAAATGAACCTCCGACCCGCAGAGGGCCACCGACGCGTGGATGGGGAATTGCTTAAATCCGTTTGTCGGCAACAAAAGGTAGCGCGACCCCCCAACACAACGCCGAAATAACGACAAACGGTGGCAAACCAAACGCGCGCGACACCAAAACGCAAACGCAAAAACGCAGAGTTTCCACGGCGTCATCAATGACAACCATGTATCCCCCCGCCACCACCAACCCAATCCTTATCACCACCGCCACCGTTTGTGCCCGTGCCCCAACGCCTCCCCGCCCCAATCACTCCCAAAAAATATCCCCCCACCACCAACCCAACCCCCACCCCCCAGCCACCCACCCCACCAACGCCCCGCTACCCCCACCACCATGCCCCACATCCACGCCCCCGACCACCACGCACGCTAGCCCCACCACGCCATCCCACAAACCCGCCCACCACGCCATGCATTACGCACCCTGCTCCCGCCCGCCCACCACCGCCGCCGCCACCATTGCCCGCGCGCCCTCCACGCCGCTCGCCAAACCCCGAACCACGCGGCCCCCCCCCCACCCCCCCCCCACCCCCACCCCCACCACCCCCCCCCACCACGACCACCACACCATCCCCCAAGCCCAAAACGCGCGCGCCATCCCGCCGCGCCCATCGCGCGCCTGCCCACCTCCCTACCCACGCACGCACGCGCGCGCCCACCTCCCGAGCCCAAGCAACAACGCACCCACGCACGCACACGCAAGCGCACTGACCGACGCGCGCGCCCACGCCACCCCACCCCACCAACCCGCCCACCCCATCCACCAAAGCACGCACACGCGGGCGCAAGCGCGTGGGTGCAGGGGCGAGCGAAGTGGGGCTGGGCGTGGCGGGCGCTGCGGTGGCGGCGGTGGGGAGCGCGGGCGGTCGCAAGGAGAAGGAGTTGCGTGCGCGTGGGGGCGGGCGGTAAGTTGGCAAGGGCAGGTGCTTGGGAAATATGCGCAGCGGTGCAATGCTGGCGAGCGGTAATGCTGTGGGTGGTGTAAGTGCGTGGGGGAGGTGGGATCGATAGAGCGAGGGGCGAGTGGGCGAGCTGGTGAGCGACGGCTCAGGCGCGCATGGGGCGCGCGGATGGGCGTGGCAGGCGGTGGCGCGCGCGCGAAAAAGGGAGGTGAGGCGGTGGCTGTTGGGACGGGAAGTGGGAGGGGCGGGGGCGCATGCGGGAGTCTGGACAACTCGCTCAAGGAAGAAGCGACTCCCAACTCGCCTCGCATTTGCGATGTTGACGCGCGACTTGGCCTGCTGGGCTCGAAGTTGAAGTCGACTGTCGACGTCGACGGTTGACGTCGACGTGCCCTGTTGACTGGCCCACCTGCTGTTGACGCCCCTAGTTGGCTGCGCCTGTTGACGTCCAGACGCAACTTGACGCGCCCTGTCGACTGCGCCTGTTGACGTCTTGACGCGCCTAGTCGACTGCCGACGTTGACGGTTGACGTCGGCGTCTCGTGTTGGGGGTGCCAGTTGATGTGCCCCGCTGGAGTCAACTGCGCCCCCCCTCGTTCGCCGCCGCGAGTTAAGTTCGCGCGCCGATGTCGCGGACACTTGGCGCCTCCAACACGGCGCGGTGGCAGGCGCGAGGTGGCTTGTAGCACATGCGCCGTGCGTTGCTAGCCAGAGCAGTAATTCTGGCAGCCGCCGCTGTGTTTTTTTTTTTTTTTTTTTTTTTTTGTCACAGCGCGCGATCAAGTTATGACCAGCCCTGGGAAACGCGACGCCGCGGGGGTGCGTGGAATATTCGGAATGCCGCGCGGGCGACGCGCTGGCTGCGCAAGGTAAGTTCGCGTCGGTGCGGCACGTCCAGAACGCGCTCTTCTTTTGGCTCATCGGCGAACCTAAACCGCACCGACGTTGCAACGGCCATCTAGTGATCTCGGTTGCGCCTGTGAAGTGGCGAGCGATGGCGCGCGTCGCGCGCGCGTGGACGAACTCGGAGGGCTGGCGTGATCACGGTGGCGGTGTTTGGAGATGAGCGAGCGAACGTGCGTGCGCGCGAGCGAGACACGGGGGGGATGCGCGCACGCGTGCGTGCGCGTGAATGCGCCCGCGGGCAAGCGCGAGCCTTCGCGCGCGCGAGTGCGTGCGCGCGGCGGTGGCGGGCGCGCAGCGTGGGGGCGCGCGACGTTGTCGGGCGGGTGGAAGGGGCGAGCGGCGCGCGCGCGAGGCGAGCGAGCGTCGAGCGGGCGCGGGCGGGTCGGTTGGCGGGCGAGCGGCGCTGGGCGCGAGGACGTCTGCGGCGATAGCCATGCGCGAGGGGGGGGGGTCCAACGTGTGTCCCTGCATTCGTTCAGCACGCATGGGGTTCCGCTTCCCAGTCGTGGCCGCGCTTGGGGGCTCGGTGGGAGCGTTGGCGAAACGGGGCGCGGTGGCGTTTGATGGTCGTGCCGAGCGGGGGTGGCGGCGACGGTGGCGGTGGCTCGGGATGGGAAGTGGTGATGCGCCGATGCTGGGAGGGTGGAAGCGGCGCGATCTGGCGCGACGGGCGGCGCTGGGGAAGAGGGGGGGGGCAGCGCGCAGCAGTGGCGGGCGGGCTAACTGGCGTCGGCGGCGGCGGTGGCGTGACAAGACATTTGGGGTGAGGGAATGGAGCGGCGGCGGGCAATCAAGTCGGGGCGGGGCGAGCGGGGGCGCGCGCGCGGCGGCGATGGCGGTGGAGGCGGGGAGCTTGACATGTGGATGCGTGGGTGGGGATGGAGTGAGGTGCGTGGTGATGTAGAGGGTGGTGGTCGCGGTGGAGGGGGGGGGGCGGCGGGCGGGAGGGCGGGTTGGGCGGGGCGGGGCGGGGGGCGGGGGGTGGGTGGGTGGGCGGGAGGGGGGGGGGGGCTTAGCTCGCGCGTGCGAGCGAGGGGGGGAGGGGGTGGAGGCGGTTGGCGTGGCGCTCGCGCGTGTGAGAGTTTTGCGCGCGAGCGTGCGCGTGTGCTTGCGTGCGTGCGCGTGAAATGCGCGCGCTGGCATTGGATCGCGCGCGTGCATGGCGTGAGCGTGGATGCGCGATGGGGGGCGAAGAGGCTGGGTGGGGGGGGGGGCGCGTGGCGAGTTGCGCGGGCGGGCAGCGGCAGGCTGGGCGCCAGCTGCGACGGCGCGCCGCGCGGGCGCGCCACGGAGCGCCACGGCAGACGGGCGCTGCAACGTCAGCGGCGGAGTCTTCTGGGTGCGCTCACGGGGCCGTTAGCCCGAATAATGCGCAGGGGGCGCGCGGCGCAAGCCGCGCGCGAAGAGATGTTGAGTTCGCGCAGCCCTAAGCCTTCAACGTAAGCGCGCAGCTTGCGGCGACCGAGACCGCGCAATTGCCGTCGATTCGGCGATGCGGGCGTTCGGGTCATGAGCGGCTGGCCCCCCGCGTGGCAGCGCAGTTGTTGCGAAAGAAGCAAGGGGGTACGCGACGTTTACGCTGCCCGCGCCCAGAGAAGCAACGGTGATTTCACGGGGGGCGGCAGTGTCCACTAGGGCAACGAAATCGCCGACGGTTGAGCGCCGGGCGATCCGCCGAGCCCCATCGGGGCGCGCCATAAGTGCCCTGTTGCCCCCTACGCGTGAAGGTCGCGGTCGACTGCGCGGCCGCGGAACACCCCGCGCGGGGCAGCCAGCACTGTGCCAGGCGGCGCGTCACCAATGCCAATGACGTTACTGGCGATCCGTGCGCTAGAACTTCGCGGCCGCGTAGCCTCACTTTCCGCAGCCATATAACGTTGCGCATGGCTTGGTCTGGATCAAGTGGCTATCGTTCGCGCGCAGCGCGCGCGTGGCCGACTATCGCCCCCGACCCCCCCCCCACGCCAACCTTGAACGCGGGCGTTCGGCGGAGAGGTGGCCGATAGATAAGCGATAGCAGTGAACAGCGCGTTCACGGGGCACTCGAAGCTGCGCGTGCCGACGTGTTTCTTTTAATATCAGTTAGCTTAAGCGTCTCAGCAAGCTTGCGCGTTGACCTTGAAGGAAGGCACACCGCGACGGAATAACTTTAATTGATTGCGAGCCGAGTGTCCTTTAACCGCCCCCCATCGCACCCGCCATTACCTTCTTCGCCGCGCCCAGTCGCGAAAGCAGACAGCCCAGCATTTGTCGCGACATTGGCGGGCGGCGGCAGGTCGGGGGCAGGCGGTTGGGGCAGCTGCCTCAGGGATGTATCACCTACTTGTTCGTGGGCAGGCAACGCAATAACATTGAAGGCCGAAAGCTTGGGGTGCCAAGCCAAGTTCCCACTCGTACTCAGACTCGCGCGTGCGCCGACTTGTTCATTCGCAGACTCATGCACATTCGCACTTCGCCACGCTCAGGCCTAGCTACACATGGTTGTTTTCGTTCGGCTTTACGCGCGCTCAGGCTCACCCATGCACCATGCCGCCTCAAAATTCAGACAGGATAGCACTACGGTCCACGGGCGCACAGGTGGATTCTCATACGACGTCATTCGGCAAAACTTCTCCGCCCTCTCCCCCCCCTCCTCCCTCTGGCGGCGGGGCAGGGCGGCTGTCATGGAACGGTTTGCCGCGCGCCGTACAAGGCGCATGAAGGGAGGGCGGTCGGCGACTACGACGACGAATAATGAGGCGTCGTCGTCAAGGATGTTTTCGTCGTCGTAATCGTCGTCAGCTTCGTCGGGCTCGGCGTCTTAACTATTCCCACCCCGCCTCCCCCAACCCTGGTTTGAAACGCATCGGGTGTGCGTTGAGGTCTCGTTGGGGCCCCTTCGGGAGACTCGCTACAGCCAGTTGGTGGCATCTTGGGAACCGCTGGGGGCTCGTTTGGTGGGATCTCTTGGGGGCTCTTGGTGGTCCCTTGAGGGGCCCAGAGTTATCCTGAGGGGGTCTCTTGGGGGTCTCTTGGGGGGTCTCTTGAGGGCCCTGCTGGGGGGGCTCAGAGTTATTTTTTTTTTGGGGGGGGGGCTCTTGAGGTTTCATTTTTCTGGTCAGTCACTTCGCAGCAGGCTTCTTCGCATACCACCTGCTCTTGGCCGAATCCATGTGGATGCGCGCCTTCTCGCGCCTCTGGTCCTTGGAGTCGCCGTCATTGTTGGGGTCGCCCTCGAAGAGCCACTTGAACAGCTCCTGGTCCGCAGGGCACCGCGTTTCTGTGATGCATAATGAACATCCTGTGTGACGGTAGCACGTCACGGTAACGCTCTTGGCAGGCCGACCCCGCTGAACCCTCATGATAATTCGGTTCTTGTACGCCACGAATCCGCTCGCACTTGGCTCCCCAAGTTGTTCCCAAGGCTGCGGAGGCTCAGCAACATCTTCGGCAAGAGGCCCATCTTCAACTCCAGCGTCGGCGCCGCCACTGGGGACATCAGCGCCGCCAGCTGCGTCCTCATACATCTTGGCAAGCGCCCCGACATGAGCAGGATGGGGTCGTCGAGGTCGATCTCGCCATCGTCTGGACGTTCGTCATGGTGGTCTTCTTGGTTGCCGCCCCAGGTGTCGAGCAGCTCTGTCATGTCGTCATCGCCGCCATGGATCTCTGCGTCCTCCTGGTCCGCCACGTCCATCTCGCCGAGAGCGACCGCGAACTCCCCGTCCAAAGCACCCAGCTGAAAGCCTTCGTCGGCACCTGCGTCGGCGGCCCCTGCCGCGCCGAGCGACGCAGCCACGGCCGCATCGTTGCCCAATGCTCCTTCGGGTCCTCCTGTAATTGCTGCTGCGATCGGGCCGCATGCACTTGTCGGATCGACTTTCCCATTGGCAGCCTTGGTCGATGCGGCGCACGATGACGACGTCTTCGCCGTGTCGCTGGATGGGTTCAGGGGGTCGTCCGTCTTCATTTTCTTGAAGGTCGAGGCGCTGGTGTCCTTTCGCTTAGCCGCCGCGCTGCCCAGTGGGACGCGCAAGCCCTCCTTCCACAAGGTGCCGAGAGCGGTCGCGGACTTCACCTCCACCCACAGAAGAGTACCGTCCACGTCGATGGGGTCCCACTCCACCTCGCAAAGCTCCATCGCCGAGAACAACTCACAGCACTCGCGGACAAACTCATCTGACGTCTGCGCGTTCACGACTTTGAACTTATCACTTATCCTTGATGCCCGCCCCCCCAAGACAGCCCGACAAGGGCAAAGTAAAGGGCGATCGCTGTCCGACGAAGCTCTGCCCCATCTGTGGCGTGCGAAATCAAACACAAGAGGTGAAAAACATGACCCGATGACTTGGACGAGTAGCCGATGATAAAGACCACCACCAGCAATGTCCGGGCCCTCCACTATCAACATAACGTCGCCAGACTCCACCTTGGTCCTGTTCAGCCTGGCAATGACGTTGCTGATGCCCTTCTCGACCAGCGTGAACTTCAACCTCCCCCCCGCGACCTTCATCGGGTTCACGTCGTGGGGTCGAGCTCCGAGGCTCCACAGATTCGTGCTCTTCGAAGGCCCGAAATCCACGAAGTAGTTTGCCTTGGCGAGGCCCTCCTCGTGGTTGGCGTCGGTGACGTCGGCATCGCTTGGCCAACCTTTTGAACCTTTGATGTGCTTGCAGAACTCGTCGCTGCTGGTTGGCGAGACGAAGCTCCCGCCCCCCCACTGCTGCACGTACTTGTAGGGCCGCTCTCGTTCATGATGTTGTTGCTTCTCTCGCACCCACTCGTCGTACGCCTCGTTGTGGCAATCTTTGTCGGCGACGTTCTCCCAGAAGACATGGAATTCCTCCGTCACCTGTTTCACCTCCTCATCGGTCATCGGAGAGTCTCTCAGCGCCCTCACAGCACGCAGCCACTGGTTCTTCTCCAACAAGTAAGGGTTGAGGCCAGGTGCAAACCTGCCAGTACTATTAGTACTTGGGTTCTCGTGCGGAAGGACGTCGATGCACCCCGATACCGTTCGACAAGGTGGGAAGATTGGTCCGCCTTGGTCCCCGACAGGAACGACAGCGACGCCATCCTCGGACACCTGCGCCGCGGCGCCTGGGCCAGCTGGCAGCGCCGCCGCAGCCGATGAACCCGCCAGCTCGGGATGGACAAGGGCCGAGTCGGTGGCGGCTTGTGCCATGACGCACTCCACTGCGTCAGGGGGGTCGCACAGCAACAGTGGGCGCTCGATCTCCTCCGTGCTCGAAGTAAGTGGCTTGTTGATGGATCTCGTTGGATGACGCCCACCGTTTTAGACATGGATCGCGGCCGCTTGGCTCAGAAGGTTCCTCCTCGCCGCTTGAGTGAAATTGGTCGCTGGAGCTCGCTTAGGCACGCCATGGGTGATCTCAGAGTTCAGCCTCTCAATCACGTCAGTGCTGAAAGCGTGCGTCATGAAATCTGACCTGAGAAGGGGCTCGCACTCCTTCGACCCCAACTCCTCCTTAGTAAACAGTTTGCGGATTCCGCGGCTGTACAGGTCCAGCTCGTCGTCGTCGGCAGCCAGTAGGTGCTCGATGCAAGGCGCTTTCTGCTCTGCAGTGGTAGTACTAAGCGATAGAACGTGCATGTCGTAAGGCTTGGACGAATACTTCGTTTCGTAACGCCTGAACACACCGCCAGCCAATCTCAAAGTCTGGTTGCGAGCGAAACGCATCACGGCAGCACTCTGAACTGGGATGCCCATCATGTCGAGGACGCACCATGGGTCCCTCCGATCGCCTCCTTGCCGCCAAGCCTCCATGCTAGCGAACAGCCTCTCGGAGCACTGACCTATGAGGCTCGTGTTCTTGCACAACAGCTTGTCCAGCTTGCTCGCCTTGCCCTTCTCGCCCATCTCGCCCATCTCGCCATGCCCTGTCCGCATGGGTTTCACCAACAAGCCTTTGTTCCGCGCGTTCTTCTACT